ATAAAGTGTTTTCGCATCTCGGAGTGTTTTATTTTACTTAATTAGTAGTTCAAAGTCTAATTAGATACAATTATGTCTCTCCTCATGTTACGTAGGATCCTCGCGCGTATTCAAGTCCTAAACTGACACTTAGCATCCAACTGACACATTTCTTTTCTGGTGAGTTCATACCCCTACGCTTTTTCCGAGTTTTTCATGTTTTCGGGAGGGGGGGGAATACAAGAAAATTATAAAGGTTTTCGTAATTTAAAAACTGATGTAATACTATGATTTTCTGACAAACTTTTACATATCTTTATGCCTTTTGTAATATGCGGAGCATAAGGGATGTTTTCTGAATATAATTACATAGTTTTCAAATAAGTGCGGGAAACTATCAAACCAATCAAATTATTATGGGAATAATTTGGGATCTTCATTACTTGTTTTACGGATTCAGATTTCATGCAAAGTCAATGTATAAACTATGTCTGATTTAGTTTATCCATGTTTAGTCTAGAGTATCATGCTAAATAATTACTTTGTATTTGATTATTTATACTCTACCTTATTTCAAATGATTTTGAAACTCGATAACGACCAAGTATACCGTGAATTATTTAATACTAGCTTGTGAGATTCGTCTTCGTTATACCCCTCGGGTTATCTGTGAATCCTCACCGGAAGTATAGCCAGAGTCTCCTGGAAGGAGAGCGTGAAATTTGTGGATAGATCTATTCGGGACTAACAATCCCACACCTTAACTGCTAGCTACAGTTAGGCGGGCACGCCTGGGGTGACAAATTTTGTAAATTGGTCGACATCAGAAGAGCGTCTAGGAGGTCACAGGTCAAATTAGTATGGTTATACGACTCACAATACGTATTAAAGATAACTTTGTTCATGGATTTTATTTCTTTCTCTAATCTATAGTTTATGTATTAAGACTACCTACTTTCGTACTGAATGGTATTCCAGGGATTTTAACTTATGTTTTTCTTATCGTACTTGTAATAATTAGGGCTTTTCTTATAGAAATCGACAAACGTGTTAGAAAATATGGGATTTTCTTGGAAACATGCATATGTATTTCATAACTCAAAATTTATGGTTTTCGATATTACTACATTCTTTATCAAAGGAAATGAAGTGTTTTCACAAGATTTAATAATCAGATTTTTCCTCACAAAACATGCTTATGAACTCACCAGCTTTATGCTAATACTTTTAAAATTGCTTGTATTCTTAGGTTCTCATTAGACAGGTATCCTGCGATCTTTTGGAGAAGACAGAGCGTATAGAAGTCTCGTCTTTTCTTTTGTTTATATGATGTATACGTATACAACTTGTATCACTTTGTTTTCAAAAAAATGTAAATATTTCTATGTAATGTAATGGTTGTGTTTACTATGCTTGCTATGTACATTAGTTGTGATACTTTACATGACGTCACCTCCGCCCCGGAACGTTTCCGCCTTCGATTTCAAGGTGTGATAGTTTTGAACATGCAAAATATCCTAATACGGTATGCAAGCTTGAGAAGTCCATTTATGGACTTGAAAAAGCATCGTGTAGCTGGAATCTTTGTTGTCATGAAAAGGTCAAAGAGTTTGGATTTTCTAAAATTAAGGATGAGTCATGTGTCTATGTCAAAGCTAGTGGGAGTGTTTTAACCTTTCTAGTTTTGTATGTTAATGACATACTCTTTATAGGAAATGATATTCCAACTTTGCAAAAGGTGAAATATTGGCTTGGGAAATGTTTCGCTATGAAGGATCTAAGAGCGGTGACATACATTCTTGGAATAAGGATTTACAGCGATAGAAAGAAACGTCAAATAGGACTAAGCCAGAGTACATACTAGGATAAAATATTAAACGTTTCAATATTAAAAATTCCAAGAAATGGGATTTACCTATGCATCATACTATTAAATTGAGTAAGACTTAATGTCCCAGTAGTGATAAAGAAATAGATTCTATGAGTTGAGTCCTATATGCTTCGGCTATTGGATCGATCATGTATGATATGACTTATACTTGTCCTGATGTGTCTTATGTCTTGAGCATGGTTAGTCGATATCAGGATAATCCTGACAAAACTCATTGGACATCAGTAAAGAATTTTCTAAAGTATTTGCGGAGAACCAAAGAAATGTTCTTAGTTTTCGGTGACAAAGATGAGTTAAGAGTGAGTGGTTATAGTGATTCCAGTTTTCAAACAGATATAGATAACCTTTTTTCATAATCTAGGTGGGTATTCCTACTGAATGGTGGAGTGGTGACTTGGAAAAGTTCCAAGTAGAAAATGGTGGTGATTATACTTGTGAGTCAAAATACATCATAGCAAGCGAGGCTGCAAAGGAAGCGACTTGGTTGAAGAATTTCATTGGTGATCTCAGAGTTTTTCCATCATTCCAAAAACCCATATTTATGAAAATAAAGGTGCGGATGCTTTAACAAAAGAACCAAAGGATAGTGGAAGGTCAAGGCACATTCTAACAAAATACCATTACGTCTGACATAGTTTTCAAGACGACGGCCTCATGGTGAATCAAGTATCATCAGAGGATAATTTTTCAGATCCTTTTACAAAGGGTTTAAGGAAGAACAAGCACATCGAGCATGCTATGAGCAGTTGGTTAACAATTGATATTAGTTTTAGTGATTAGTTGATAGTTTGAAACAATGTAACAAAATAAATTGTAATTGTTTTTGTGATTAAATAATAGATATTTATTTATGAGTTTGTGTACTACCATCTTCAATTATTTATTCTTGTATTACGTTTTGCATTTTTACTTCCTGAGTATTAAATTATTTAAAATTTCACAGTCGGTCATACTTTTGGGAAGTAAGTATAATTTAAGATTGTCATGGAGTATTAGTAGATTGTACATGGTGATTCGACATAACATGGAGATTGTTGTTATACTCATGAGTACTTAAAATATGGAGTTTAAATACTGGTTAAACATGTGCTTAGAGATTACTTCATGGATTAAATCTCAAGTAATTCTAAGACGATAATATATTCTATTCTTCAAACAAAGATATATAAGTTATAGCTTACAACTTTGTTTTGCATTGGTATTACATTAATACATCCGTAATGTAACCGGATGTTATAAAATATAGTTCCATGTATAAAATTATGAGTAAAGTTATAATTATATAGTCCAAGTTTATTTGTTCATTTTTCCTATTAAAGAAAAAGTGATATCTTTGGATCCCTTGGTGATTTTATGTTGACATTATAATGTTGGGCCTAACCTGGACTAAATTGATTTGTTCAATTCATAGTCTAATAAATTCATCATAAATCGGAAATCGGGAAACATAATCGTTGAATATGAGATTGGTTTGTGTCCATGTCTCGTGTTCATACGATATCTTGTAGAACAAAGGAATAGTTTATCACTTATCTTAAGGACATCTCTTATATAATTTAGAGTTCGGGAATAGCTTTGGAGAACACACTTTTATGGTTATTCAAAGTCTATATCTATAATTGTAGTTTATGATTAATTTAAGTGGGAGACTATTAGATTAAGGTGTCTAAGGTCATAACTAAATTGGTATAACTTTACGGAATAAAAGCAAAGCCTTTTTTGGGTTGCCCTCAAGAACTAGAAATAGCTAGGAACAACTTTAGGAGTGTGAGAAAATGATTTGTTAATTTACTATTTGATTAATAAATTATTTAGAAATGGTTAAGAATTAATTTAGAATTAATCAGAATTGATTGGGAATTAATTTTGGATTGATTAGAATTAATTAAAAGTGTGAGGGGTGAATTGTAATTGTTTAATTGTTAAGCAAGGAAGACATTCTAGAACTCTCCGCGGCTTAAACGGTTTTGAGGGGGGTCTAGAAAGGTTTTGGAAGTCTCCTATAGCTGATAAGGATAACTGCCTAAAATAGATTAAATTATATTATTTAATTATTCAAACTAGAGTTTATCCTGTAGATCCACTAGTTATAAATAGCGATCCATGTTAGCCATTTTCGAACCCTAAAAATACACAAGAAAGTATTTGAAATATGTTCCTCTCTTTTCTCTCCAAATCGTTCCTAGGGTTTCTAGGGTATTGGTTGTGAGCTATTAGAGGCATTCACACTATTGGTGCTAGCTTTTCAAGGAACACTCGAGGATCAAAGCTTGAGTATTTTATATTACTCTATGGTATGTATTCTAATCTTTGTGATTTTGGATTATACAAATGTTAGATTAGTTTTTCATAGTATGTTGTTATAATGAGAAAATGACATAGATCTCTAGGTTGCATGTGCCCATAAAATAGTTTTCTAATTCCGCTGTGTAAATCTTTTGTTTTGTAACCTAGAAAACCCATCACGTCGTACTCTATCCGAAGATTGTTGTACATGGATAGACAAAATCGGTTACCACACATGGGTAAGGTCGTGTTTCCGTGTGTTTTGGTATAATATAATTACATCAAATAGCGTCGAGTCCATCAGCGCGTTATCAAAAGACGCACGAAAACTAATAATAACAATGTTGATTGACTTTATTTGAGCAACAACACCGACTAGTAGAAAATGGTCGAAGTCATGAACAACCGGAGATTGATTATGATGAGACTTTCAGTCTCGTGGTCAAACGTACCACTATTTGGATAGTTCTCATTATTATAGTTTTATACCACTAGCCAGTTTACCAACTAGACATGAAAAATGTGTTTCTTCATGGTCATTTATAGGAGACCTTATACATGTATAAGCCACATGGGTTTCGTGATGTTGGTTTTTCCGATCATGTTTTTTGCTTCGGTGATCGCTTTATGGCCTCAAACAAACACTATGGGCATAATTCCATCAAATTGCTCAATTTATTACCATACTTGTATTTATCCACAATAATTTAGACTCGTTTCTTGTTGTTTTTCAACACAGTAGTCAAATTGTGTATCTATTGTTACATGTGGACGACATTATTCTCATTTCCTCCTCTACCAATTTGTACATCAGTTTATCTCTACTCTTAAAACAAACTTTTCAATGACTAACTTGGGCAATCTGAATTACTTTCTAGGTGTTATTGTAACTTGGGACGAACAAGGCATGTTTCTTGGTTCTATAAACGACAAGGCACCATTTCTCTTTCCGGCACCAAAGTAGGATATCATGGGGTTGCTAATGTCGTCATTGAGTCATGATTGCTATGTAACCTCCTTCGTGAGTTATATTGACCCCTCACATCTACCACACTTATCTATTGTGAGAATTTAATTGTCATTTATCTCTCAACCAATTCCATTTGACATCACCACACCAAAGATGGATATACATTTTGTTCACTACAAAGTTGCAATGGGTCATGTATAATTTCTTCATGTACCCTCAATGTCTCATTTAATTAAAGACCTTATGTCGTCATTGTTACTCAACTTGAATGTTCGAAGTCGATCCCTCATTCAAACTCGCGGGGAGGGGGGGGGGTTAGTTTATATATGTTTTATATACTTTTCATTGGGCTTAGAGTTTCTTTTTGTTTGTAGGCTTTGTCGTAATCAGGCTATTTCTTCTTTGTTGTATTCTTTGTATACATACTTATTGAGAAAAGAGATTAAGGGGGATTAAGTCAATCACATTTTATGCATTAGCATGTGACCATAACATCACTTGTTTGAATCTTTTTCATGTATTCATCATACTTACAATTTAGCTATGTCATTAAATAATAACATTTTCATCTCAACAATTTGACTCTTTTTCAACGGATCACATCTTGTTATCATAATTCTTACTTATTGTTATAAAATAAGAAACAAACACCAAGAACAATTCCCTTATGTATTTATGAACTAGTTCCGAACAATTACAAAAAGAAACCTTACTCTAATCCTATACAAACAAAACTAAACCTACTCTCCCTCTCATAGATTCTAGCAATCTATATTATAGAAAACATATAGATGCTAACAAACTGAAGGAAGTAAATCCGAACATCCATATGTACAAAAATGAAGAGAGTGTTTCAGGGTTTGTGTGACAAAGACGACTTCTCTCTCAAATTTTTGATAATTATAATACGAAGCGCAAAATGAATCACACAGTATTGACATTTTTGATAGGTCACAAGTACATATCAGCCCCTCTAGCTCCGCAATAGTCACGGACAACCTTCTAACTTTAATGTTCAACTTTAACCCTCCAACTATCTACATTTTTATATTTCTATCAAATTTATAAATCTAAAACATAATCAGTCCAAGTTCGAACTATTAAATTCATCTTCGAAGTATAGATTATGGACAAGCAAACATGATAATCCATATATCATAACTTCAAATCTTTTTCGAATATATTCACTAATGTCCAATTTAGGAATCTCTTACTCCTCTTAAAATAATTAAAGATTCTTAAACACATTAAAGCATTTCTGACAATAAAAGCCACATATTTGTCAGCAACATGCACATTTATGTGTTGTAAAAACTATATATAATATCTGTTGTTCATTGCACATGGCCTTTTAAGCTTCTCTTCTTCACATGCTTTCTCTCTCTACATTCTCAATGCTCCATTGATTCAACTCTTTGTTTACTCATTGACTGCGCATTTCCACGAGCCACTTTCCAGATCTACACAGAAAAAAAGGGTTCTTCAATATGAATCGCAAGGTTAGATTTGCATCATTTATTTGTTTTTTTGTTCTCTTCATTTTTATCATAATTTCAGCAATTAATAAGATTATGGGCAGAAATAGTTGGTGGGTTTCAATCATTTGTGGATGGTTTTATGCCATTTTTGCAGAATACTGAAAGATTATCGATTCTGCATTTTCCTTGATTATCGTCCCCTCCCTTCATTCATCACTTAACCAACTTTTGTTGGTTTTCAATCATTTGTGAATAAAATTTGTTGGGTTTTGCTATTTTTTGCTGAAATTCGAACAGCAATTAACAAACTTTTAGCTGAAATAATTATTGGGTATCACTCGATTATTGTTAAATTTTATTGGTTTTGTTCATTTTTGCTGAATTTTGAGTTCTCCAGATTCTTCATTAGATGGTGTTCATCTTCTTCTTCAAGAGGATATGCACTTGATGTCTTTAGATCATCATATCATTCAGTAAGTCATTTTTTCAAATTCTTTTTACTTTCTTTTATCTTTTTGCTGACTTTTGCTTTGTATTTTGATCAATCCATGAAAGATTTCTTGATTATATCTTGTTTGGAATGTCAGAAACATTTTCTTGTAAAGTAACTTACTTTTAACGTTAGAATTGATGAAAATCTGTGTAGCGAATCTTGAATTTGATAATCACACGTTTGAACTTTAAAAGTCAAAGTTGATAGCTTTTTGTTTCTGCCAATTGGAAGCAATAACATCCTACTTTTATTTATGTGTGTGCTATAGCAATTTGCTTTCATTTTCTTTTATTAGTTCGAAAATTTTGACCCTTCACTATTCTTGCAAATACCTGTATTGCAGAATCAAACAATCGATATCCCTACAAATTCATTGAATAAAACATATTAATCTCAATTCCGATATGATTACCCAACTGTTATAAACCTGTATACAAAATGGAAGACGACAATGCGGAGGATATGGAGGTGGAAGTCTTGTCTTCAATGTGGCCGGAAGACATTGACGCCGCCGGAAAAAAGTTCAACCTTGAAAAACCAGGCGCCGATCAAGATTTATTAGAGGATGTCACTTTCATCGAAGAGCCAACTATCGTTGATTTCCAAAGACTGCTGGAGCTCACAAATTACAGCGAAAAAGGGTCATCTCAGTTATCGTATCTCGTAAAAAACTGGGAATGGAAACAAGAAAACGCAGTGCGACTTCTAAGAGAAGAACTAGAGAATTTAAGCAAACAACAACACGAAGTTGAATTGAAGAAATTGGAGATCTTGGAAGAACATCGATTTGAAGATGATAGTTACGGGGGTGATAAACGTCCGATTTCTATACTCGATGAAGTTTATGAGATTATTCCAGATGTTCCCAAACGACGAAATGATGTGATTTATCAAGATCAAAGATTGGAAATTGATGGGGATGATGATACAGATACTGTTAAGTATTGGAAACAACGAGCTTTGAATTTGGAGAAATTGTTGGAATTAAGCGTGAATAGGGAACAGATTTTATTGGAGAAATTGGAGGAGAGTATTGAAAAGCTCGAGAAACAATCATCCCCAGTTGAAGAACTTTCGCAAATCTTGAAAAGAGCAGATAATTTTTTACATTTTGTTCTTCAAAATGCGCCTGTTGTTATTGGTCATCAAGATAAAGATTTGAGATATCGCTTTATTTATAATCATTTTCCAAGTTTGGGAGAGGAGGTAATATGATTACAAATAGCAACATACTTTTATATATTTATTTAGGGTTAGATGCAAGAAATAGCAATGTAAATTTATATAATTTTTATTGTAGCATTCTACTTTCATTTGTAATTTTTAAATCTACTCAATTATAACATTATCATTGAAACCCTGAGCAATTTTTATAATTGGGTAGATTTTTTAAAAGTACAATATCCTAATAAGAAAAAATAAAATGAAACTACAATGTTATAATTCGAAAAAAAAATAAAAAAAAAATAAAAATAAAAAAACTCAAAGTACAATATTGTAATAGGAAAAAATCACGGAAAGTAAGTTTCTACTTAATGCATCTAATCTAACACTTTTCATGATTAAATATTTGAAAATTTTCAGGATATTATTGGGAAAACAGATGTGGAGATATTCAAAGGTGGTGGAGTTAAGGAATCCCAAGATTTCAAAAGGGAAGTTCTTGAAAAAGGAATACCAGGAAAAAGAGAAATTACATTTGAGACCGAATTATTTGGAGCCAAAACATTTTTGATATACGTTGAGCCTGTTTTTAGCAAAGAAGGAGAGACAATTGGTGTGAATTATATGGGAATGGAAATAACCGATCAAGTAAGACTCACTCACTACATGCAAGAAATAGCAATGTACTTTCATTTATTTGTGTTTTATAGCATCTTACTTTCAATTTTTTTTCTTGTTAGGACATTATACTTATAAAAACCTACCAATTATAGCAATGTTTATATTTTGATCACATTGCTATAATTTGGTAGATTTTTTTAAAGTGGAATGTTGTAATAGGAAGAAGGAATGTAGGAAAATGTAATAAACAAATCAATTAAAGTATGTTTCTATTTCTTGCATTTGATACGGATTAATGTCTATATATCAAAGTCTCAAAGCTTCTAAGATTCACATAAAAAGACTAAATATGTTTTTAGGTGAGAAGGAGAGAAAAAATGGCAAAGCTTAGAGAAGAAATAGCAGTGCAAAAGGCCCGGGAAACCGAACTCAACAAGACTATTCATATAACAGGTTTATTATAGCGTACTACTTTCCTTTTCACAAATCTACATTATACTTTGAAAAAAATACCCAATTATAGCAATATCATCCAAATACAAAGCAAGTTTCATAGCTATAATTTGGTAGATTTTCCAAAGTAGAATGTTGTAAACTTGTAATACAAAAATAAATAAAAGTACATTGTTACTTCTTATACGTTCTCTTATCTTTTTTGTGGTTATTAAAGTTATATGCAATCTATATTTCTTGTAGAGGAGACAATGAGAGCAAAACAAATGTTAGCAACCATGTCACATGAGATAAGATCTCCTTTATCAGGAGTTGTAAGCATGGCAGAGATTTTATCAACAACAAAACTCGATAAAGATCAAAAGCAACTCTTGAGTGTCATGTTATCTTCGGGTGATTTAGTTCTTCAACTTATAAATGACATTCTTGACCTCTCAAAAGTCGAATCAGGTCAAGTTTTTTGTCCTTTCTTGTATGAATAATGAAATAATTGTTTGTTCATGAATCATGAATCCATAACTGCTCACTAAGGATAAAGCCTATGTATTACTCCATGTATGTATCTTATAGAAGATTCAGAAATCTGAACATATATTATATGCTTGTTTTCAGGTGTTATGAAGCTTGAAGCTACAAAGTTTAGGCCTCGTGAGGTGATCAAACATGTACTACAAACCGCTGCAGCATCACTGAAAAAGATGCTAATTTTGGAAGGAAATGTAGCAGATGATGTCCCTATTGAGGCAAGTTCTTTTTGACATATTTACCCTTTACGCTGAAAACAGCCATAGGATTGAAGATTATGATTTCTATTTGGAAGTGTATGCACATGAAAAATCGTTAATTTATGATGTTATACAAAAAAATTTATAACATCTCTATTTATTTGAAATGATTATATATAAAGGGCAAATAAGTAATTGTACATTAACATCATAACTCATTTTCAGGTTATTGGTGATGTTCTACGAATTCGACAAATTCTCACCAACTTGATCAGGTATTATAACTACTACGTTTCTTAACACAAGATAAACGCATATCTCCCATATGAACTATTTATTTATACATGAAAGAAAAGATGTTTTATGTTGTTTATTCATGAAACCATAAATGCTCATAAAGCTTACGTATTCCATGTATGTATAAATGAACTACTACTGAACCTTTTTTTATAAAATTTTATCTCGTTTTCTGCAGCAATGCTGTGAAATTTACTCACGAAGGGAAGGTTAAGATAAATCTTTATATAATACCAGACCCATGTTCAGAAAGTCAACAAAAGTCAGAGATCGATATGGAAGAGTCTGAATCGCATGAAAGAGTGGTGTGGATACGTTGCGATGTTGAAGATAGTGGAATCGGAATCCCAGGTGCTTTTTAATTATGTTCTTTATCTTTTCAATGAATTGAATCATTTATTTTTATGTTTTTTCTCATAATTTTATCACTTTGATGTGATAGAAACCGCGTTACCATCGTTATTCAAGAAATACATGCAAGCTGGTGCTGATACTGCTCGGAAATATGGTGGGACCGGATTAGGTTTAGCCATCTGCAAACAACTGGTAATATTTCTTAGGGCTAAATGCAAAAATAGCAACATTTATCTTTACTTTCTAGAATCATGATACGATGTCGTTTCGTTTCTTGCTAATAGGTTGAGCTTATGGGAGGAAGTCTCACAGTTTCTAGCAAAGAACACTGCGGATCTACCTTCACGTTTGTTCTACCTCACAAAATTCCACATGCATGCGAAAGTTCAGATGAAACCGATGATTTTAAAGATATGGATGACAACGCATCCACAGAAGACGATGAAACTTGTGGATATTTTCAATTCAAACCCCGGACTCTAGGCTCGTTGTTCTCCTCTAACGGGTCGGGTCGGGCCCACGGGTTAACGGGAACCGAACTCAGTTTTGAAAAGAGTAATTCGGACAATAATAGCACAAAGTATGATTCATTTGATCATGATCGTCCGTTTCACGATCCTTGTGTCCAAAAAAACCGGCCGTTGAATCCGGATGCACCGAGATTGCATTCTAATGGAAACTCGGGGGGTATTTCGGGAAACTTGCATGAAAAAACCAAATCATTGAGGCCGAAGATTCTTCTTGTTGAAGATCATGTTGTGAATGTTATGGTAGCAAAGCGGATGATGAGACAATTGAATCAAGAAATGGATGTTGTGAATAACGGGGTTGAAGCAGTGCGAGCTTTTCAACGTTGTGATTATGGTCTTATTCTTATGGTATTCACTATTCGCTTCAAGTTTTATCGTATTGTGATATATTTATGAAATAGCAATGTACTTTTATCTGTTTGTTTGTTTATTATATAGCATCATAGTGATCCTACTTTCATTTCTTTCGTTATCTTGATATGTGGCTTAACACGTTAAGGAGATGACAATGTCTAAAAAGTGAAATGTTGTAATAGGAAGAAATGAAAGTAGGATGTTATAGTAATAAACAAATAAATAAAAGTATGTTGTTATTTTTTGCGTGTAACCCTAATTTTTTTATTTTGTTATGGTGATTTTGTAATGTAGGATGTATGTATGCCGGTAATGGATGGTCTTCAAGCTACACGGTTGATCCGGTCATATGAGAAAACCAGCAATTGGGATGAAGCACGGTTAGCTGGAGTTGAGTTATCTGGCGATCACATACCCAAGGAACAAAGAAGGAGAATTCCCATCATTGCGGTAAGTACCTTAAGCAAAATTACTTATTTGCCCTTGTTATGCAAATTTTGCCAACATTTGTTTTCCGTTTTGTTGATTTGTTTATTTGAAGCAAAATTACTTATTTGCCCTTGTTATACTCACTCCATCATGTACATAGTCAAATCACCATTTAGGAAAGACAAGCAAAGGCTTATGGATGGAATTGAGATTTGAGATTCCTTGTTTGGTTGCCAAAATTCAAATCCATAGAATTCCTTCCTTTGGATTAGAAGACCATAATACCCTCTAAAAGCATTTTATAAATCAAACAACCGTAGTTTCCCTTAAAACTAGCCAAAGATTCTCGTTTGTTCTTACTTTGGTATTTTTGTCATTTGATTATTTATCTATCTTTTCCTATTTTTGTGGGCCCAAAAAGTGACAATTACATAAAGATCAAGTTTTCAA